TCCCTCACCACCCCCACCCCACCCACCCCCATATTCCCGTGCCCGCACCCACCCCTCCCACGCCCCCACCCATCGCTCACAGCCCCCACCCCTCCCACTCCCCCATCCCCACGTCCCCACCCATCCCTCACCACCCCCACCCTGTCCACCCAACCTATCCCTGCACCCCGACTCATCCCTCACCACTCCCACCCTGCCCTCGCCCCCATGCCTTCACCCCCACCCATCCCTCACCACCCCCATACCCCCACCTCCCACCCTCTACCCCCCCCAGTCAGTGTTCGGTTTTCTTGCTTTCTGTTTACTTGAGCTCACTGATGTTATACCAGTAATGCACACTCCTGATCTTCCCTCTCGACAGCCAATGCTCTCATTCTGTGTTAGCCTCGGCCTCTAACCTTTCCTTGCTCCTGGTGAGTAAGCTGCACACAGTCAGGAAGGAGAGACCCCCACGCAGAAGGGGACACAGCCCGAGAGACTGTATAGTTCGGGGATTTGGGATTTGGCGGGAATTCAGTGCAGAGGGGAAGAGATGCTTTTTGTGGCTTTTGATTAGCTCAGAGTTTTTAATTTTTTTGAACACAGGATAAGTCAAAACCCAGGATCAGGGACCCAGCACAAAAAAGTGACATCACAGGAAAACCGTAAGTTCATTGGTTGGTGACAGCTACTAATTTGACTATCTATTATAGGTTACTTTCAGACTGAAGGTGAACAAGAGAAATATTGACAGGTTACAAATTACAAACCCAGGATGAACTTTTTAAAATCAAGTTAAGAGCTAAGTAGTTGAGTGGAGATACAGGGCCAGGTGATGTGTTGTAGCTGCATGATGTGGGAACTGGTGGATCCCATTGTGGTGTCTGAAGCACATGGTGGTTTCCTGAGGGACTCTAGCTCAGAGCTGATGAGCTGGAGGCTGAGTTTCAGGCAAGCAGATAAGGGAAAGCTATGGTGGGGTGGGGGGGGTGCAGTCAATGCAGGACTTGAGGGTGTTGTACTTAAATCCCTGCAGTATACCAAGCAAGGTAAATGAGCTTGTTGCACAGATTGAGAGGCAGGTTCAATGTTGTGAGTTTCATGGAGACATGGATGCAAGGGGATCAGAGCTGGGAACTAAACGTCCAAGGATACATGTCCTATTGAAAGGACAGACAGATGGAAGAGGGGACAGAGTTGCCTTGTCAGTAAGAAATGAAATTGATAGCTAGAGAGGTGGGAGAAGATGAAATAACAGAGTAAGCTAGCTAGTAATAGGAAAGATGACCGCACAGCCTAGTCACAAGGGGAAGTAACTGAAATAACTACACAGAGTGTGGTATCCTGTCACCAAGTCACCCTGTATTTACACATGAACAGGGATTAACTTTAGTAACTGCCTCTTCAGGGTCAGCTCTCAGGGTGTTTCAGTATCTCTGACACTCCCCTTTTTTTATCTGTCAGCCAGGGCTTCCTGATTGGACCAGATTAACAGCCCCAATTAGGGAACTCATATTCTCTGAGGTCCACTTGGCTGACCTCATTACAATCAGGACAGTAATGAGCAGGTTAGACAAAGGAGAGCCAGTGGATGTGATCTTTTTGGATTTCCAGAAGGCCTTTGACAAGGTGCCGCACAGGAGGCTGCGAAATAAAACAAGAGCCCATTGAGTTAGGGGCTAGGTACTGGCATGGACAGAGGATTGGCTGCCAGGCAGAAAGCAGAGTGTGGGGATAAAGGGGTCTTTTTCAGGATGGTAGCCAGTGACTAGTGGAGTTCAGTACGGGTCAGTATTGGGACCACAGCTATTCACATCATACATTCACAATCTGGACAAAGGAACTGAGGGCATTGTTGCTAAGTTTGCAGATGACACAAAGATAGGTGGAGGGACAGGTAGTGTTGAGAAAGCGGGGGGGCGGGGCTTCAAAAGGACTTGGAGAGGCTGGGACAGTGGGCAAGGAAGAGGCAGATGGAATACAATGTGGGAAAGATTAAAGTTACACACTTTGGTAGGAAGAATAGAGGTGTAGAATATTTTCTAAATGGAGAAAGGCTTCAGAATTCTGAAGCACAAAGGGACTTGGGAGTCCTAGTTCAGGATTCTGTTAAGGTTAACATGCAGGTTCAGTTGGCAGTTAGGAAGGCAAATGCATTGTTAGCATTCATTTCAAGAGGGCTAGAATGCAAGAGCAGGGAATGTACTGCTGAGGCTGTATAAGGCTCTGGTCAGACTGTATCTGGAATATTGTAAGCAGTTTTGGGCCCCGTATCTGAGGAGGGATGTGTTGGTCTTGGAGAGGGCCAGAGGACGTTTACAAGAATGATCCCAGGAATAAAGGGCTTGTCATATGAGGAGTGGGTCTGTACTTGCTGGAGTTCACAAGGATGAGGCGTATGTCATTGGGACTTACAGAATACTGAGAGGCCTGGATAGAGAAGATGTTTCCACTTTTAGGACAGACTAGTGAAGGAACAGCCTCAGGGTGAAGGGACGACCCTTTAGAACTGAGATGAGGAGGAAATTCTTCAGCCAGAGGGTGGGGAATCTGTGGAACTCATTGCTGCAGAGAGCTGTGGAGACCAAGTTATTGAGTGTATTTAAGATGGAGATAGACAGGTTCTTGATTAGTAAGGGGGATCAAGGGTTTCAGGGAGAAGGCAGGAGAATGGGGTTGAGAAACATATCAGCCATGATCGAATAGTGGAGCAGACCTGATGGGCTGAATGGCCTCGTTCTGCTCCTGTATCTAGTGGTGTTATGACCATCCCTCTCCTCCACTTGCTCCTCCCACCTTTCCTGCAGAAAGCAATCTATCACTTGCCCAACTGCCCCCAACATGCCCCAGGGTCATCTCTGAGCCAGAATTATCCCAAACTCAAAGCATCACTGTGTTTCTCTCTCTCCCCACACACGCTGCCTGACCTGCACTTTCTGATTTGATTTCTGTGAGTCGAGTTGATTACTGACCTGTGCACAAGTTGAGTGTTTTCCTGTTTGAGTTTACTCTTCTGGTCACCGCTCACCAGGCAGTCATTCTCCAGCTCTAACACCTTCTTCTCCAAATAGTTCACCTGCCAGGACATTTCCCATCCCATCAGCATTAAACCAACAACAGCACACAGTCTGTCTATCACACTCTCTCAGGACAGGGACAGCATGGGGTTAGATACAGAGTAAAGCTCTCTCTACACTGCACCCCCCCATCAAACACTCCCAGGACAGGGACAGTACAGGGTTAGATACAGAGTAAAGCTCCCTCTACACTGCACCCCCCCATCAAACACTCCCAGGACAGGAACAGCATGGAGTTAGATACAGAGTAAAGCTCCCTCTACACTGTCCCCCCATCAAACACTCCCAGGACTGGGAAAGCATGGGGTTAGATACAGAGTAAAGTTCCCTCTACACTGACCCCCCATCAAACACTCCCAGGACAGGGACAGCATGGGGTTACATACAGAGTAAAGTTCCCTCTACACTGTCTCCCCATCAAACACTCCCAGGACAGGGACAGCATGGAGTTAGATACAGAGTAAAGCTCCCTCTACACAGTCCCCCATCGAACACTCCCAGGACAGAGACAATACAGGGTTAGATACAGAGTAAAGCTCCCTCTACACTGTCCCCCATCAAACACTCCCAGGGACAGGGGCAGCACAGGGATGTGGATGAGGATAGAATGGGGATCGAGTGGCATGTGTTCTGTAGGCTGTGTGTTTGATCTCACCTTCTCCGTGATGTCGTTGTCACAGGAGTCAATGCTATCCCAGAACAGGTCCTCAGTGCTGCCATTAGTGCTGCTATGGTCACTGCTGTAGAATAACTGTCTGAGAAAGAAACACCAATCCTTATTCCAACAGTGGGGACTGCACTGTGAGCAGGACACTCACACTCCCAGCATCACACTGGAATCACACTGTGTACCATAGCCTGCAAAAAGGAAGCTCACCCTATAGAACGGTCAAGTGTTTGTAAAGGTCACCCTATAGAGAGCTCACCCTATACAACGGTCAAG